TGAGAAAAGAATCCCTTTTGTGAAGAGTTGCAGGACAGAGACAAAGTTTTAGCACTACACACACATCTTTGAGTCGTACACCCATCCCATTTATATTTTTCTGACCTTTCCCCCTGAATCCAGGTAAACACTCAGACCATCACAAATCCCAGTGTTAAATTTACTGCATGCCACAAATATTATTATTAATGTAAAATGTGAAATACATTATAGGTCTGCCATAAAAAGACTTGCTGTGACCATGCCTCTGTCACAAAAATGACACTACACCACTTGAAAATTCCAGCCATAGTTTTTTAATGCCTGAACATGTTTGTTTCTCTGGTGCGGACTGTTAGTAAATCGAGCTGCTGTCTGTTAAAGTGAGCTGATGGATTTCCAGCGTTAAAATCTTTTTGCTCAAACCAGAGGAATCGTCCCATAATGACCACAAGTACAGTCCCACAGCTCTGCAACACCACAAATGGCGCATTACTGTTTCATCATCAGAGGAACTCTCTCTCAGTTATCTGTTTAAAATACCATGAACGTTCACTGAAGCTCTAGTAAAACTAATATCAACTGTGAACGAGTTTGACATAAATTGGGGAGTTGTCGCTCTCTGCTGGTAAAACTTTGAACTACATTCTGATATAAATGACTGGCTTTCATTAAATATGTAGGACGTTCTGCATTTATTTTGCTCCCTGTGAAGCTTTGCTGCTCCCCAAAAACCCAACTTCAGTTCAGAACTTAATCAAGGATGCAGCTCACACAAAACAACAGTAAACTGTCAGACTTCAAAAAATAAATGTTTTAAGCATTGAAGAAACCAAGAGCTTAATCCTTCAAGTAAAAAAAAAATAGGCCTGTGTGTTTGACGTTTAAGTGACAAAAAATTACACCGTAAGACAAACATTGATATATGCGTCAATTTCTCTCCCCAAAAAGATTAAAACTATAAAGTGATCAGATGTTGATTTTGTCGATTCTGATTGGCCTTAAACGCATCTCTGAGTGTTTCCTTCCTCATTGAAGTTTCATTTCACTTTCCTGTATTTCGTATCAGATGATCGTTTCCATATGAAGCTCCGTGTGAAGGTGAGTGAGGCGGTCTGTAATGTTTTCCTGGATCACATCAGCTGTGTGCTGTTTAGTTCCAGCACAACTCTGCCGCTCATAGCTCACAGTGACAGACTCAGAGTGAATGAAGGAGGCCAGCAGGTAAATGTGTCAGCCACAATTTTATCTGTGTGCGCTTCTTTGTATGTGAGCCAAGGAACTTACCTACTTATTAACTATATTTGAATTCCTATTTAAATATTTTCACCGTGAGGATTTGTCTTTTATTTTGAAACTGGCTTTACAAATTTGATCTTCTCCTGGACCTGAAAGTTAACTCAATATTTTTTCTTCACTGCTCTCTTCGAGTAACTTTGAATACTTCTTTTTTTCTGCTTGAGATATTCCCACCGCTACAGTTACTTCAACTCAAAGTACACCTTCCATAATTCAATGATTAAACTATAGACAGGAGCTGCTCCAAATGAACAGTATTTTTACTTTTACTACATTTGTCTGAGAACACTTGTTAAGATGAGAGCGATGCTTTCATTTTGGTGTCTTCCACCACACCTACCTTTAAGGGTTTTTTTTCCTAATTATTAAGAGCTCAACATTTCTGTTTATTGGAGAAATGATATAATCACGTATAGTTGACATTTTATTTGTGTATTTCTACTGATTTCTTCCTAGAACAGAGTGAACATGTAACTGCTCAAAAAATGAACACTTTGAAAACACATCAGATGTCAGTGGGGAAAAAGGACACAGTGGATATTTGTACTGATATTGAATGGGTAATGTGGTCGGAATGAAAAGAGGCCATGTCGTTTGATGGGAATGAAAATAATAAACCTAATGAATTCAAAGATGCTCAGAAAACCAGTCCATTTTGATGAAATTTAATGGCACCAACCCAAAATGGTATTCAGTCGTCTGTATGGACGTCATGTGCTTGTATGCAAGCCTGACAATGTCTGGGTGTGTTCCTGACAAGAGGGTGGAGGGTGTACAGATGGATCTTATCACAGATCTGGAGAAGGGCATCGCTGACCTTCTCAGCAGTCTGAGGGAAAAACGTGGTGGCATCAGATGGACTCAAATATAATGTCCCAGAGTTGTTCTGTTGGATTTAGGTTAGGCAAGCTTTCTGCTGTCAGTTCCTTCATCCTGCAGGAACTGCCTGCATACTCTCGCCACATTTTTCATCAGGAGGAACCCAGGACCCTCTCCACCACTGTCAGGTAGGACATGGGTCTGGGGATTTCATCCTGATACCTAATGGCAGTCAGGGTGTAGTTGCCCAGCCTGTAGAAGTCTGTGTATCCCTCCATCAATTTGTGTCCTCGGACCATCACTGACCCAACACAAAACCGGACATGCTGACATGTTACAGGCAGCATGACGTTCTCCACTGGTTTTTTTAGAGCCTTTCACAGCTGTCCCACATGCTCAGGGTAACCCTGCTCTCATCTGTAAAAAAAACAGGGTGCCAGTGGTGGACCTGCTAATTCTAGTACTCCACAGCAAATGACAATCAGGCTGGTGCTGTGGTGCTGGGCAGTGAGTACAGGGCCCAGTAGAGCATCTCGACCTTCACCACAGGATCTTCATCTTCGTGAAGCCTGTTTCTAATTGTTCGGTCATTTACACCAGTGGACTGCTGGAGGTTGTTTTGTAAGGCTCTGACAGTGCTCATCCTGTTCCTCCTTGCACAAAAGAACAGATACTGCTGATGGCTCAGGACCTTTTATGGCCCCGTCCAGCTCTACCAGAGTGACTGTCTCCTGGAATCTCCTTGATGCTCTTGAGACTTTACAGCAAACGTTCTGGTGTCACCTCTTGGTGCCAGTAGGGACAATGACCTTAGCCAAAGCAAAACTAATGACAAGACAGACAGAAAAGATGAAGAGGGAAAAATGTTAGTGCCCTCCACCTGTAAAACCATTCCCGCTCCTGCTCTATTAACAGAACGCTTTAATTATTTCTTTGAGTAGTACACATTTATAATGGACTTTATTTGATCCTGCTCCAACATTTTAAAGCTTAATAATAATAATTTGATAATAATGATAATAACTAATAATAATTTGTATGTATTACCATTAAAGGGTCTAGTTTTCTGACTGTCACTGTGTACTCATTGCCCAGCCTGGTGGGTTGTTACTGAGGAGTTACACCTGCTACATCTGGCAGTAAAGACTTTTGTTCCATAGGTCAAAAAGAAGTTATTTAATTTTTTATTACATTGAAGCAAAAAATATTAAACATATAATGTATATATGTATGTATGTAAGCTTGCATATATCACAGAAGAAACAGCAAAGACTGGGATGAATGCACAAAGCTGACACTGATTTCTCCCGTGTCAGCCTGTTATACTAAAACTCATCCTAGACATGTGATGTCACATGGTAAAAATGCAAACCACATTGCAAAGATGCTGCTGGCAGCAGTTTCCTGTCTTCTCTCTTCTCTTTTTTTCTGACAGATACAAATGCAACCAAAGGAAGTGAAACACGTTGCCATGGTAACATGGAAACTTGTCAGTCACCTCCATATATTTCTGCAAATACTGATGTCATTGGTCTAATGTGTAACAACAAAATGTGTGACTTCCTATCCATATGTTCAGGCAAAAGATAAAAGAATTGTTACTTAATATAAAAACACAATTTAAAGAAACACGTGTGAACCTTAGTTTACCATGATTTATAAAATTTTAAACTAAAACTCGTACATTGGGTAGATAATGTTGTAATCTTCACTCTATACTGCTGGTCCTTTTATCACCCAGCTAAAAAAACCACTCTGAAGTTACAAACACCCTGATGCTCTGCGCGGAGGGAGATCTTTCAACCTAGAAGCAAATCTGAGGGACAGTCCAGCAGGTCCTTACATTTAGACTTGGTGTTTATTTCTAATGGTCATCTATAATATTCAAAACAACTTTCCTAAATGATGATATATGAATATACATAGCACTATATGTGTGTGAGTGTGCATGTCTGTGTGTGACACCAATGCTCAGGCACCCTATAAACAGGATGTGTGGGGGTATGACGTACCCTCTGCACCTCAGGCTGAAGGGCAACGAACTACTTCTCTCTTTTCTAGCTGTTCCACACATTTCTAACACCCTCCAACTGTGGCTTCCTATTTCGTTTTATGTCAGGCAGACCCCCACTGTCAATAAATTCTTCTCTCTCTACAGTTACACACACAGGCTTATAGCTAAACCAACCTAAAACACACACATTCACAAATACTGTCCTATTCTTATGATCTACAGCTGCACCCTGTCATCTAAACAAACTTGAGCCCATTTTATTCTAATCATTGTTTTCTTGTACTCACAATAATTATAATCATCACATATTCAAACAGTAATATCCACTTCTTCACTTTACCTTAAATACTACTGATCCTCTCTGAATTATGGATCATCCAAACTGTTTTAAAATCCTGTTTAGATGTGTTAAACTGAGTGATTATTAATGAACTGAAGCTTCCAGTTACAGTGACTCAGTGTATTTCAGTGTGTGATTCATGGCGTCATCTAGTGGACTGATAGTAGAAGTAGAGCAGCTGATGGCAGCTTCCTCTGCCTCACACTGCTGTCTGACTGCATTCAGCTGACACTGAGATGAAGCAGGAAAGAAGCAGCTGATATTTGGACAGCACACATGATGGAAAGGAGGATTTCAGTTGATGTGCACATGAATGATTTGTGTTTCCTCGGAAGGTGAAGGTAGAAAGTGTGTGAGCTGACGTCAATTCAGCAGCATGGATCAGTGTGAGGACAGAGAGGAGGGAGTCCCTCCCTCTAAAAGCACTCTGTGTGGGGAACATGAGAGCCAGACCAAAGCTCAGAGGTGAGATGACCATCTCTAACTGTCCATGACTCTTCTCCATGTCACAGCTCAGCGCTCACATCACTGCTCCATCATTATTCACAGGAACCAACCTGGACCTGAACCCAGCTGTTTATCCTTAAAAAGCAGTGATTCAAAGGAAGTTGTGATTAATTTCAGACAAAAAAGTTCCTTTGGTAAAATGTAAGTTGTTATTGGTATTAACTGATTTGAACTTCAAATACACATTTTAAGGTTTTATGTGCAAGGAAACATTTGCGGAATTTAATAACTTTTCTTCTGTCAGGATTCATCAAAGACCAGACGCACGTGGACATGAATATAAAGATGAACCCAGCAATGTCTCCTTTAAGAGCAATAATTCAAGGAAACAGCCTACTGATTTTAAAGATGAACAGGCTAATTCTGTAAAGTAAGCAGAAGCATGTTGACTTTGTTAAGATATAGAAAACAAATAAATTTTGTTAATTTTTGTTTTGCTGCATTTCACCTAGCTTACTTCATAATTTGTGTTTCTCTTCCGAATGACATTTCGGAACAACCTGTTGGGCATGCCCACTAAAAACACTCAACATCACTCGTTGATTATTGGTGTTAAACTCATGACCTTTTTCTTTTCAAGCTCCTTAGATCCTGTCTGACATTCTTTTGACCTACACAGCACTATTCACATACTTTTCCTTCCTCCTACTTCATTATGTTTCATATCTACACCTTTGAACAACAGTTTGAATCCACCTCCAACGCCCCTGGCCTTGCTGTCCTTCCACAAACAACAACATTTCTATGTCCCTTCTTTCGCTCAACCAATTTGCTTTGTTTACCAATTGTGGCCCACCATTTAAAGCCCATATTGTTACTTCCTTTCTCTCTCACTGGATTTGAACATGCCTTTCCCTTCTCCTCCTTTTTCGCCTTTAGCCAATACTGGCAGTTTCTACTGTCACCCTGTTAATATGCAGAGTTGTTTGTTAACCCAGGTCCTGACCAGTCCGGTATAGAAATCACATTCTTGATGACCACATGTTTGATTTGGCCTAGATTGGGCTTGGGAGTGCCAATTATACTCCTACCTCTTTAAGAGTGTTCTTGACTTTGTTAGATTCAGTGTTGTTTTCTTTTGATAATGCTTAAGTGGTGATTGAATTCTTTCTCTTTAAAAATATATATCAGATTATTGATTTGGCCACTCGTAGAATTTTTGTTACCTATATGATAGGTTTATTTTGATTCCTCCATAGCTTGGACCAGGAGAGCTCAGAGGTACCCAGTGGGCAATCTGCACATCTGTGTCAAACACACTTGGAGTCAATATTTATGGTCTGTACATATATAACCAGTTTTACATATATTTTGTTCACAGTCATCTCCATGCTGCATTTTGCAGACCAGTGGATTGTTAGTGTGTACAACATGGATCTAATGTTTGGCTCAATTATTTCAATTTATTGTATCATTCGTGTGGTATTTTGTTCCAGCTCTTGGAGGACAACATCATCTCTTTTGTGAAGAAACAACTGAAGGAGCTACAGAAGGTTTTACATGCAGATTTTCCAGAATACTTAGAAAGTCAGAGCAAGGATGAAGAGATGCTGGAGGCTGAGGTTAAAGAGCAGAGGGAAAACAGCAGAGAGGCTTTTGTGAAGATTACACTGCACTTCCTGAGGAAAATTAAGCAAGAGGAACTTGCTGATAGTCTGCAAAACAGTAAGAGGATTTTTCTCAAGACTGCAGCTGCTGGATAAATGCAACAAATATCTCAAGAGCTAGACAAACATATGTTCACTCTTTAGAGGAATGAGATGTTGACTATATAATAATTCATGTATTTGGGTTATTTATTTTATGTTTTCAGAAATCTTTGCTCGACGTTATCAATATGAACTTAAATCTCACCTAAAAAAGAAATTTGGGTGTGTGTTTGAGGGGATCGCTAAAACAGGAAATCCAACCCTTCTGAATCAGATCTACACAGAGCTCTACATCACAGAGGGAGGGACTGGAAATGTGAATGCCAAACATGAGATCAGACAGATTGAAACAGCATCCAGGAGACTACACAAAAAAGAAACAACAATTAGACAAGAAGACATCTTTAAAGCCCCACCTGGAAGAGATAAACCAATCAGAACAGTCCTGACAAAGGGAGTGGCTGGGATTGGGAAAACAGTCTTAACACAGAAGTTCACGCTAGACTGGGCTGAAAAAAAAGCTAACCAGAACTTTCAGTTCATATTTCCATTTGCATTCAGAGAACTGAATGTCCTTAAAGAGAACAAGTTTAGTTTGGTGGAACTTGTTAATCTCTTCTTTAGTGAAATCAGAGAAGTAAGAATCTGCAGCTTTGAGGACTTCCAGGTTTTGTTTATCTTTGATGGTCTGGATGAGTGCCGACTTCCTCTGGATTTCCACAACACTGAGCTCATAACTGACCCTAGAAAGTCCACCTCAGTGGATGCGCTGCTGATAAACCTCATCAAGGGGAACCTGCTTCCCTCTGCTCAGCTCTGGATAACCACACGACCTGCAGCAGCCAATCAGATCCCTGCTGAGTGTGTGGACATGGTGACAGAGGTCAGGGGGTTCACTGACCCACAGAAGGAGGAGTACTTCAGGAAGAGATCTAGAGATGAGAAGCAGGCCAGCAGGATCATCTCCCACATCAAGACATCACGAAGCCTCCACATCATGTGCCACATCCCAGTCTTCTGCTGGATCACTGCTACAGTTCTGGAGGATGTGCTGAAAACCAGAGAGGGAGGACAGCTGCCAAAGACCTTGACTGATATGTACATCCACTTCCTGGTGGTTCAGACAAAAGTGAAGAAGTTCAAGTATGATGGAGGAGCTGAGACAGATCCACACTGGAGTCCAGAGAGCAGGAAGATGGTTGAGTCTCTGGGAAAACTGGCTTTTGATCAGCTGCAGAAAGGCAACCTGATCTTCTATGAATCAGACCTGACAGAGTGTGGCATCGATATCACAGCAGCCTCAGTGTACTCAGGAGTGTTCACACAGATATTTAAAGAGGAGAGAGGGCTGTACCAGGACAAGGTGTTCTGCTTCATCCATCTGAGTGTTCAGGAGTTTCTGGCTGCTCTTCATGTCCATCTGACCTTCATCAACACTGGAGTCAATCTGCTGGAAGAGAAACAAAACACCTCCAGGAACTTTGAAACAAGACAACATACAGGGTCTCAATTCTATGAGAGTGCTGTCAAAAAGGCCTTACAGAGTCCAAATGGATTACTGGACTTGTTTCTTCGCTTCCTCCTGGGTCTTTCACTGCAGTCCAATCAGAACCTCCTACGAGGTCTTCTGACACAGACAGGAAATGGCTCACAGATCAATCAGGAAACTGTCCAGTACATCAAGAAGAAGCTCAATGAGAATCTGTCTGTAGAGAACAGCATCAACCTGTTCCACTGTCTAAATGAGCTGAATGATCGTGCCATAGTGGAGAAGATCCAACAGTCTTTGAGTTCAGAACAATTCTCCACAGATGAGCTGTCTCCTGCTCAGTGGTCAGCTCTGGTTTTCATCTTACTGTCGTCAGAAGGAGACCTTGAGGTTTTTGACTTGAAGAAATATTCTGCTTCAGAGGATGCTCTTCTGAGGCTGCTGCCAGTGGTCAAAGCTTCTCAAAAAGCTCTGTAAGTTATAAAGATTTAAAGATTTAAAGATCCTTCTCTCCCTTTAACAGGAATGACAAACACATCCATCACTGCTTGATTTTATATTACTGTATCTTCAGGCTAAATAGCTGTAACCTGTCAGAAAGAAGCTGTGAAGCTCTGTCCTCTGTGCTTAAAATGGAGGACTGTGAATTGACAGCTATAGATCTGAGTAACAACAACCTGCGGGACTCAGGAGTGAAGTTGATATCTGCTGGACTGAAGCATCCACACATTACACTGAAAACTATCAGGTCAGATAATGTATTTTGCAATTTGATGTGAGAAGGTAATTAGTAGATATTTAAAAAGAAAACTTCCCAGACTTTGAATTTGATGTTTGATGTTTTACAGATGTATATTCATGTTTTTTTATTATTAAGATCTATAAACTCTGGTGATGAGACAACTTGATGAGACTAACAAACTCATATATACATTTACTGGAAAGAGTTAAGCATTTCATTTTAAGCACTTTATTTATTCAGAGTAGGCCAGTAAATACTTTGCATTTACAAGAATTATCTTTTATTTTTTGGTGCTTTGTTGTCTTTCCAGACTGAGTGGCTGTGACCTATCACAGAGAAGCTGTGAAATTATATCCTCCATTCTCAGTTCCCAGTTCTGTAGTCTAATTGAGCTGGACTTGAGTAACAATGACCTGGCAAAATCAGGAGTGAAAGTGTTGTCTTCTGGATTAGGAAGTCTTCACTGTAAACTAGAAACACTCAGGTCAGGATTCTACATTTGTTTTTATTACTAATAAACTCTTTCATTAGCTTAATTTTTATGATTGTTAGACAGACGGTTTTTAAGATTTTTCATAAATTTTCTCCTTCTTTCCACCATAATGTATCGTCAAAAATTATTCCGATTTTTACTTGAATTTGGTTAAAGACTAAAAATAGGTTCCAACTTAGTTTAAGTTTAGCATAGATTTATATTTTTTACTTTCATTTTAACTATTCTACTTTTATTTGAACTATTATATTTCATTGTTTATCATATCATTGACTATGATAAAACATTTAGATTTTAATGTTTCCTCTCAGTGATTTATAGTAACCTAAATGATCATCTGTGTTTTAATTTAGTGCCATCTTCTGGTTAACATTGTAATTTGCCCACT